TCATGCCCTGACTATGAAAATGAGGAAGTGTAATGGAATCACAAGACTTGTTACTGAATGAGGAAGAATCTGTGATACAAAAAAGGATATCCAAGCTGATGCTTGTCATTTTTGTAAAAACCTTTTTTAATCTGAAGGCAGCTCTAATGACAGTGAAATTCTTCAACTTATCCCCAATGTTATCACTCAGTCAATCAATCAATCTAGTGTCCCCAGTTGATGAAGAGGAAACTCGAGCAGCTCTAGATAGCATGAATCCTGAAAAGGCCCCAGGAGCTTCTGGTATGTCTCATTTTCTTTCAGCATTTTTGGCCAACCATCAAGTATGATCTGTGTAAAGCAGTTACTAGTTTTTTTAGTCTAATTTGCTTCTTAGAAGTTGGAACCACACCATAATCACTCTCATTCCTAAGTGTGTAAACCCTTATTCTCTGAGTGACTTTAAACCTATTAGTCTTTGTGAGGTAGCTTATAAAATTATTTCCAAACTCCTTGCTTCAAGAACGAAACATGTCTTGCATTTATGTGTTAGTGATAATCAGGCAGCATATGTCTCTGGTAGGCAGTTACTAGACAATGACATCATGGGTCATGAGGTCCTGCATTTCTTGAATAGACATAGATCAAGTAGAAAAGAGTATATAGCTATTAAACTTGATATGATAAAAGCCTATGATAGGCTAGAGTGGAGATGTCTAGAAAAAATTATGTTAAAAAATTTGGGTTTAATTTGGTGTTTGCAGAATGGATTATGCAATGTGTGACCTCTTCTTCTTTCTCTATGAATATAAATGGGGAGGTCTGTGGGTATTTTGATGTATCCAGAGGGATTAGTCGAGGAGATCCCCTGTCTCCTTACTTGTTCATTTGACAACTAAGTTGTTTTCAGTTTTAATAAAAAAAGAGGTGGATAGAGGGTCTCTAAAGGGGTCCAGATTGCTAGAGGTAGGTTGCAGTTGTCTCATTTGTTATTTGATGATGACTGCTTACTTTTCTGTGGAACATATGTTAATTCTTTTTGTTGAGAGTTTCGAATTGTTATAACAAGTATACAAGTCAGAAAGTTAACTTGTTGAAATCCTTTATCTTCTTTAGCAAAAATGTGCCTGAGGACCTGCAATCTGAGATTCATAATATTCTACAAGGGGTTCAAGTTCATATATCATCTCAGTATTTTGGACCGCCCTTGGGAATATGCAGATCAAAGAAGCAAACATTTGATTTGTGGTGGATGCAGCCGGAAGAAGAGTTTCCAGTTAGAAAACCAATTTTCTGTCCTTAGCTGGTAATGAGATGTTGATGAATTCAGTTCAAAATGCTTTACCACTTTTTACTATGTCTTGCTTTTTTTTTTTGGCATAAATCGGTATGTTGTGAGATAACAATCATATGTGCAAAGTTCTGGTGGAGTAGTGGTGGTGAACATGCAGCTGAAATTTATTGGACATCCTGGCAAACCATGACATTGCCTAAGTTTCTGGGTGGACTTGGCTTTCATGACTCAACCATTTCATTTATGCTCTAATCTTAAAACATAATTGGAGGATTGCCACTATATCTAACCTGCTCATTAGCAGATTCTTCAAAAGCAAGTATTTTCCATCTGGTAACATAATTAATGTTAGAGTGAATCAGAGTGCCTCTTGGCTATGGACTACTTGGATGTTTGTCAACAAAAAGTACATGAATTACTTCAGGGTCCAAATAGGAGATGGACTATCTACCAGAATATGGCAAGACCCTTGGGTTGCACCTCTGAGTCAAGAATACCTCAAGGTTCTACAGATAATACTTCTTATGATATTCAATGGGTCTGGGAGTTTCTAGAAGATAGTGGAAGGAGATAAACTGCAGCCTTAGTGAAACAGATGTTTTGTGCTAGTGATTGTGAAAGCGCCCGTAAAATCACCAGCATAGATCCAAACAAAAAAGACAGATGAGTGTGGAACAATGAGGAAAACGGGGGATTTTCAGTGGCCATGGTCTACTCTAAATTGGTGGAGGAAAAATTCACAGGTTTAGATGTTGCTGAGGGTTGTAGATCAACTGGGAAGCTCAGGAAAATCAGAACAAGAACATTTAAGGCTTAAGGTCAAAGGCAACTTGAAGCACTTTGTTTGGAAGTGCTTTTCAGAAATGTTGCTGATAAAGAGAGGCCTGCTGGTTGATGGTATATGCCAATCTTGTGGTGAAAATTTTGAAACAATTTAGTATGTTTTCTTTCATTGCAGAAGAGCAAATGAGGTATGGAAAACAACTCATGTGCAGTGGGAGTTAGGCCAAGGTGATGCAACCAAGTTCAAATCCTGGTGGGGAGATGTCTGCTCTGTGGGCCGGCTTGAAGTGGCTGAGGCTAGGATCTAGCTCACCACATACTTGTGGTGGCTTTGGAAAGCCCTTAATCTTTGGGTGTTTAAAAAACAGTGGATGCCAACTCACTGCATCATCAGGCTGACGACCAATGAGTGGCACGAAGATGCTAACAGAGAAAGATGTGAAGCTGTGAAGTTTTGTTGAGGTGTCTAGGTTCGGTTTATTCAGTGGACACTCTTCATATAGTCATAGCTTATTCTGTTTCTTTTTCGAATAGTTTGTTATGATATCAGTTGTTGTGCTTATTATTGTTATTGTGATGTGTATTGTTAGCAGTACTTGGTGGTGTCAGCTTTCCACAGGCCCTATGTATGTGCATCTTATTGTTGGGATGGCTTGTATTGAATGTTGGTTAATTACGTGATTTTGTGTTTAGAGCGCTCAGTTGTAGCGTCTCTCAGGGATTAGGGTCAGTGCACTCTCGGGTTTGTAATATTTGTATATTTTGTGTTATAATATTCCTTATCGTTTTAAAAAAAAAAAAAAGATGTTGCATATATATTGTGATAATAGGTGATGTTACCGAAAAAGCTCGATTGCAATTTTAATAAACGAGATCGATTAGATTTTCAAGCTCGATCTTGCCAGAGGCCAGTCAAAGTTATGTTCGTAAAAAACCCGATTCGTATTACAAGTCTAATAATCAGAAATAAGAGTTTCCATAAATATTAGTAAATATTTTCGTTGGGTAATGAAATAAAGAAGACTTTTCTTTCTTTTGTTTTTCTCTCAAATATAAGCAGCCGGTTATCAAATTCAGCAGAAGCATATCTGAATCTAAATACATATTAAAGCTGACACATATAGAAAAGGATATGGGGCGCTCTATTTTAGATAAGATTTCAATTAAAGTTTTTTTTTCGAAACGATAGAAATGTTATAAATCAAAAAAGCACAACTGTGCGAATACACAACAGCCAATGGCTGAATACACAACAGCCAACAGCTGAATAAAAAGGGAGGACAGGTCAGAAGACCGCCTAGATCCGGCCCCAACAGGGTAATAAAAAACACAAAAAAAAAAAAAAA